CTTTCTGTAGGAAGAAGAGGCTTCTCTCTTCGCTGAAGACGCTGAATTTGGGCATAATTGAGTGCGTTTGGAGGATGCCTGCTTGTCAGGACAGGACTGGTAACCCAGATTTTCTTGCTTTTGGATCTTGCTCATTGCTGGGGTCACATCCTTGCTGCAGTAAGAGAGGGACTTTGCTTCTGTCACCCCGATTTTTGTCTGACCACACGCAGCATCATTTGCAGGTGCTGCGTCTGGCCAGCACAGAGCAGCAGAGACCTTGCATCCTGCCACATCCTGCCATTTAAAATGACTGGGAGGCAAATGTTCCTCCCCAAATGGAAAGCCACCTCTGTGGAAGCTTGAAAGACAGGAGATGCGCTTTAATTACTGTTAGAGGAGAACCTTGGTTTGTGCCTTCAGGCTGCAGACTCTCAATCAAGAAACTGAAATGGCAGATCAGGGGCTGCTGCTCGCTAACTGTGCTAGAGTTGTGCTGCCAAATGCTTGCAGTCCCTTTCTGAGGTCTGAGTACATGCTTTGGAAGCAGAGGGCAAGCAACGAGAAAACCAATGTCTCCTGTGAGACAGGCCAGCTGCCCTGCCCCACCATCTCCTGTGCCTGTGTGCTGTGCTGCTGAGCAGGGCAGAGCAGCTGCCCCCAAGTTATGGAGAAGCTGTAAGACCCAGGAATTGGCAGATCCAAAAAATCAGATGTTGGATGTGGCCTGGCCGGGATTTGCTCTCCCCCTTTCATAAGGACGCATGGAGCTGCTCCTGCAGTTGTTTGGAGATGGGTGAGGGATCAGAAGGGCTGAAGGATGGGCATCTGAATTAGTGACTGCTTTACTGTGCCCTGAACCTGGCTGTGCTTGGTGGAGCTGTTCCTGCCCTTGGCATTGGATCTAACATCAGAATAGGGAGTTCAGGAGAGAAATGTGATTTGCAGTTGAGCTCTGAATCTGCCTGTGCTGAGACGTCGGCTCACACGGTTTTGAGGCCAACTGCTCGGGACAGCGGGTTCAGAGGGAGGCGAACAGTGGTGGTGCCTCTCCCTTGGGTGCGCAGCACATGCTGCGAGTGCTCTGCCCTGTTCAGCTCTTCACTGGAGCTGTGGAGTGCTGGGGGACTGGGGACTGCTCGTCTGCGGGTGCTGGAACCAGACACTGTATGGAAGGGATGAAGAGTTCTCAGGGATGTTGTGTTGAGCTTGACCCAGGGCCTCCACGCTCGCTCTCTCTGCTTTGCGTCACCTCTGCGCCGGAGCCCGTTGTGGTTTTATCCCAGTTTTTTGCAGCCCAACGCAGTATGAGTTTTTGGAAAATTAAATTCCATCTAAGTTCCCACTTTACATCTCAGCTGGCAGCAGCTCGATGAAGGTACGCTTCTCACAGCCTACTTCTTGTGCTTGTGTGGGGCTTGTCAGGGCTCACTTTGAGCTGGGGCTTTGACAGCCTCCTCTCATCCTGCACCCCAAGCTGCAGACGAGCGGGCAGGCTGTAGGAAGTGTAACAGGGCAGAGTGTCGTGGATTTGGCAGGGAAGCGTGACCCGCCTCCATGGTTGAACTGCTCGGAGTGAAACGGCCCAGCCGGTCTGCAGGGCTTCGTGTCAGGCAGTGGCCAGCTGCTTCACCCTGCACTCTGACTCTGTGAGAGAAACCTAAAAAGCCAAATACAAAATCTGCCCTGGGAAGAGGTGCGAGAGCCAGAAGACGCGGGACACAACTGCTGCACGCCCTCGCTTACCTCTGTGTGTGATGTTGAAGATCGTTGTACTCGGGTGCAAATAAGTCCTGCTTTCATGTAGCTTATTTTTAATGCTAGCAGGTTTGCGAGTTCCACGTCCTAATTAGGTTGCCAAAAAAGCATCTTTCTAATGTGTTTAGATATGTTGCTTTTTTCCTTTGCCCTCCGGTTTCTCTTTATTATCAGACACTGTAAACAGCGGCCTGGTTGGCTGCCTCGGCATCGCTTGCTGTTTATAGGCCTCCCACCATATCCTCTTGCTGCTGTTTCCGGACCAAAGCTGTTGGCTGTGGGTGGTTAACACTTCCATTCAAATGAGCTGTGCCAATTTATAGCCAGCCCAGGCGCTGGAGAGATTAAAGAGAATTTTTTATGGGGAAGGTTCGCGCTGTGCCCTTGGAGTGACCTTTGAGGAATGTCTTATTCTCTCTGGGAACAACCAGCACGTCACAGAGGTGCCTCAGCAAGGACCGCTTCAGGCCAGAGCGCTTGAAACAGCTGCCTCTGAACCCTAGTCTTGTTTTTCCCTGCTCCCTCAGCTGAAATATAGCCTTCCCTGCTCTTTTTTCCCCTCCAGCCCTAACCAGGTGCATGGATCAGCTGGAGAGGAGAGCAGGTCCCAGGGGAAGCCATGCCCTACTCTGCAGGCAGCCCTCCTGCTTGCGGAGAGCAGCCGTGCCAGGGAGCAGAAGTAAAACGCCGCTTGGCTCTGCTCTTTCCATGGCTGGAGCACTCCTTGGGGCTTTTGTCACCTTGTCTGCCGCCTCTGATCTGGCTCTGCTGGCCCAAGCACAAGAGGCTGGAGCTGGTGGAAGTAGGGGATGGTCGCAAATAGGTTGGAAGTGACTGTCCAGGCACGACACATGTGGACAGGCTCCTCCTGGGAACGCTGTGCGAGGGGAGGGAGCTGGCGCAGGGGTTGACGTCAGCCAGCACCCGCTTGGCGAAAGTAGCGATTTCTGTATGAGACACTGCCTCATAAGCACCGTGGTGGTGGGAGAAACTGGGCGGGGTGAAGGAGGAGACCCTG